CTGCCTTTTATAGATAGAGTCCAAACAGATCTGACAGAATGAACCTGGCTAATACTCTTGAAAAGTATTTTCAATCAGTGGCTAACTAGATCAAGTAATGGTTTCTAAATTCCAACACATTCCAAACAAAATTGATTTCATTTAATCACCACAGAGAAACTTATCTGCCTACCACCGGGATGGCCGATGCTGAACGCCGGGAGAGAAACACTCTAAACCTTGTTGACCTCACGTTTTCCACTGACGTGAAGTGGAGCGACTGTATCGAGTCAGTCGCTATGGCTACTGCAAAGAATGTTGGATCCTTGTGTCGTCCCCCACAAAAAAAAAACTCTTCAGGACCTGAAATCTTGCACATTTATATAACTAACATTCGTCCGTGCATTGAATACTGTTGTCTTATCTGGTTTGGGGCTCCTACTATACATTTTGAGATTCTTGACAAAATCCAAGGAAGAGTCTGCAATACAATCGATCCTGATCAGGCTTCTCGTCTACAGTCACTTTCTCACAGATCTAATTTGGCTTTCCTCTGTTCTACAAATATTTTCATAGACTGCTCGGATGATTTTTCCACCATGGGGCACTGACTACATGAATTTAAGCGTGCTGCTAGATTGGCAACTAGGTCTCATTGATTTGCTGTTAAACTAGACAGACGCAGTCGCCACTTATACTCTAACAGTTTATTCCGCATTTCTTGGCTGTGGAACTTCATTTAGATTTCTTGCTTCATTGATATCTACAATCTTCTGAAATTTAAATGCAATGTCAATCGCCCACTTCTGTCTTCATGGACTCTGTTCATTTTTTTTTTCTTTCCTCAATACTCCTCCTTTTCTTCTCATTCTCTTTTAAAAAAATCAGGCAGGACGTTTAAACGTTCTGCTTTGGTAAACAAGAAAGATGCTACTCTACAGCATGACAGTGCCAGATCATTTACTTCCATATTCGCCATGTTTTTTTTTTGTTTTGTTTTTTTTTTTTAATCGAATTCACCCTAAGAAAGGCAGTAAACCACTAAATCACAAAAGGTTACTGGTCGTGGAAGAATTTGACAACAGAGACCTTACTTAGGGCCGAGAACAATAGAACAGTAATAAGGAATTGATATTTCATTAAATCTTTTGAAGATTTAAGTTGATTAAAAAACCTGGAACCGGAAAAGAGTCCCACGAGTGCAAGAAAAGAAACTGTTGGCATAGAACTTGCGGTTACATCTCGACAGTTGAACAATACATTGATGAGACTTCATTTCCCGTTTAGTATTACGCTTAAATTCATAAAAGCTATTAGGTTGGTGCAAAAATAATGACGTAATAATGTCGTTTTTTGACGTTAAAAAATACGTCAAAAAACGACATTATTACATCATTATTTTTGCACCAACCTAATACTTACCATAGAGAAGAGTTCATCCATGAAAGTGTTTATAGAAAAGGCATAGGAAATCAGCTTTTACGGCTATAGGAAAGTAACTGATGCCGAGACGTCAGATCAGAATTAATAATATTGTAAATTATTCTCTGAACTTTATCAAGATTCTCTAAGTATATAGCATGAGCATCGAACAATATGTGACAGCAATATTATAAGAATGGACGAATGGTAGACTTATAAATATGCCAGATAGATTCTGGAGAGAAAGATGGTCTAGCACAGTGGACAAACTTTCTTAGCAGCTAACCTAGCAATTGATTCAATATGATCTTTCCATGTCATGTCAACTGAAACTTAGCCCGATAAGATGCAATGTGTCACTCTCCTGGGGTGGGTGGTTAGCATGCGCCATGCTAATGGGAGAGAGAAATGGTAATCTCAGATGATTTAATAGAGAGTAGTTTTGTTTTGGTTGCGTTAAAATTAACAAGCCATTCTTTGTCCCATTTAACAACAAACTAAAAGTCGTTTATGACTTCAGTCGCTAATGTTACCTTATCGAACTAAGCAGACTTAGTATCAAGACAGGTTAAAATGATTGTGTCCCAAACATAGATAAAAAGATGAGAACTAGCACCATCTGGGAGTTGGTTAATGAAAATGTAAAAGAACTTAGGACAAAGAATAGAAGACTGAGGACACCTGCATTAGTAAAACATTTTACCATTGATCTTTCTTATAGATTTTCATTTGTTTCGATCACTAGAATATTTCATACGTGGCGGAACATTCAAAAGTTGAAAACAGTCTGACAAAATTATTTTCCCGGTAAAAACCCAGATATCTTAAAAACTGAGATCAAAGATTTCCACCCCATTGTGATAGTCTTTGGAAATAAATATGATTACAGTTTTGATAAATAATATTTTTAATTTAACTTTCATTTGTTTTTATGTTCTTTCTAGTATCCAAATATTTAAATGAATTTGACTTACATCTGCTTTTATACCCTTTATGATAAATATGATTATTTGTCGAACACCTTAATATTTAAGCTGCTAAATCCTAGACGTCTATATACCCTAAACGTGGTTCAGTTATAAAAAAAATGAACCTGAAGCAACATAGAATGAAGTAAGTAAGAATAAAACATTTATTAAAAAACACTGCCTCAAAAATATAAGATCATTGCAAAAGTGCGGACCTTGTTTTCAAACTTAATATAAAATGGCCGAAACTTAATACCAGCGTTTGTTTTGGTGCCAATTTCTGGTGTGTTCTACATTGAAATCTTGCATCATTCAGTTGCGAGTCAGACTTTGTTGAATGATGATGTTTCGTCCACAAATGAATACGTTAAAGATGGAGGATAAAAAATTGTACTTTCGCCATATTATGCTCTACGAATTTTTGGAATGAGTAAGTGTCGGAACTGTGACAAAATATCATTTAGAATATTTATTTGGATCATGCTCTAGTTTTTAAAGCTTAAAAATGGTTTGGCAGATTTCGTCAAGGTGATTTTAAACAAAACGATCAACCACGCTCCTGGCGACTACGTGACGTCGATGAAAGTTAACATCCTGGAATATAAACCGAAGATTTGAAAATTGAAAATCGATATCTCAACTGGCTTTCGCAATTTGAAGAGATTTGGGGTCGAAGAAAAACGGCAGATTTGGGCAAATCGAAAAGGTGTCATCTTCCACCATGAAAACGCAAGAGAGCATGTTGCAAAAACAGACATTGCAGAAGCTTAAAAAGTTGAAATGTGAAACCCTCCAAAACGCACTGTATTCTCCTGATTTTTTCTCCTTTGAATGTTTATTTGTTCTGAACAATTTAAATGACAAATAAATGGACTCTATACAGCCAGTCGAAAACAATCTTCATCCAACAAAAATAAAATGTTTCACGAAAATAGTATCATCAAGCTTGTAGAATGACCGGAAACTGCTGTCAAAATCAACGGAGCTTGTAGAATGACCGGAAACTGCTGTCAAAATCAACGGAGACTATGTACTTGACTAATAAATCTTTTTTCTTTTTCTTTTTTTTTTAAGTGTGTAAATGTTTGTTTTTAATTTTTTAATTGGATATGTTTTTTTTTTTTCAATGATATAATATTTAAGACCGTGCACCGTAGAAAAACGGCGCCATTTTGTAAACATTAATTTTTGTATTATATCAATGTTGTAAAATCTACAATTTTCAAAAGATTTATTTAAAAGTTTGTTTAAAATTAAATTGCCAATAATATATATTAGAAAAATAAGGTGAAACGCCTAGAAACATGTATTTATCCCATCAAAAAAAATGAATCTTGAGCCTATGTACATGTATTCCAACTTGGCTGTTATTCAACATTTTGCTTCCCAAAGAATCCTTCATTCAAAGAATCGATAAATCCGTGTTTAATATGCTTCGGCTTGCAGAGATTTCTTTTAGTGTAAAGAAATAATTGATATTTCTGATATATGGTGTTTAATAGCAGAAGGTTTGGGTGAATAGTCAGAATTCTAAAAAGTCTTTCAATGCAAATTATTCAACTTTAGTCATATCATCTTTGCAACACGAGGGCAGAGGTTAACGTGTAACAAAACCACACCTTTTTTTATTCACCAATGAGAACACAGACTTGTCAATGCAGCATCTCCTGTTACTCTGGATATGATTTAATTGATTTGCCGATTTAATGGCGGATATAATACATGTGTGGGTAGTATAAAAGACATCGGTTTGGATAGTTTTATTCTGTTTCATTTATTTTATTTTCATTCTGCTATTCAATGTCGACAAGATTTTTTATTGCTGGTAATTTGTTTCAAAAATGCATTGCTGGTATTAAAGCCTATTTTTACATTTTCGTAGTGTTTTGACCCCAGTTTGGGAGTTAACTATTTGCCCATAGCTGGGACCCTAACAGGTGCTACCACTCCGGCTCACGATGAACCTGGGAACAAAAGCAAAGGTGGTTCCACGCTCCTCAAAACCTTCCGATCAGAGGCCTTACCACTGGTTGTAGTTTATCGTCATACCCAGGACGAACAGACATCAGCACAAAAAGTTTGATTGACGAATCGAATTCAAGTTGCGTTCACTATCGCACAAATATCATTGGGAAAGGCAGGGATCCGTTTCTTCCCCCCCCCCCGACTATAATTTAAATAGCAGTACGAGCAGTGATCTAGCATTGGGTGGCAACCAATCTAGAAGAAGGACATCTCTTAATTAAAAAAAAAAAACTAGCCTGGATAGGGATGGGCTCCCTCGGGCTATATCGCACTAAACACACCTACTGTTGCTACTTTTGCAGTATATGTGGGGCGTCTTTTGATTTCAATTGATTTATTGCTTTGTATTTTACGGCTTATCAACCTTTGAAAGTTATTTAAAGCCAGGAATTTTTTTTTAGATTGTAAGAACTTTTTGGAGATAATTATTTACTGAATACTGATACTACTAGTTTACCCTTAACTGTGGAGAGAATATGTGGTTTCATGCCTCCCCAAAGGTATTTGCGCGTTAGTGAATATAACGAGACTGAAATTGAAGGTCGGCTCTCTGATTTGTAATTCCGAACGTTATCCATTACACTAACCACAAATACACAGTTATATCACATGATTTTCACAAGCGGTCATCCATCTAAGTACTGAATGCTATCAACGTTGCTTAACTTCAGTGATCGTACGAGAAGTGGTGTTTCAAAGTGATATGGACGTAAGCCTGGTTATAGGTCATGATAATTAATCAAACCATTTCTGTTCCACGTAACACTCATCATAACATTGAATGGTAGATAACATGGTTTCGGGTCATGTTTCAGCTTCCCCTCCGTATCCATATTTGATGAAATCTTCATATCATTATATAAAATCTATGTTGCTTTACAACTTATTATATGACGCAAAAATGGATTAAATTTCTGATGATGAGTGTGATTTACACAGGCTTCCATTGAATAATATTTGTTCCTCATTCAAATAGAACCTATTCATTAATCTTTCTTCTTGACAGTCGCTCTACAGCGACTTTAAATGCTTACAACTGAGGCGTGGAATATTTGCCGCTACTTCTTTAAGCTTAGGAGATTATTTTCTAGCATATCTTTGTTAATGATTGATGATTGTGACTGACCTCTTTGCTAATTTCTACAGTAAAATCCTCAATTCTAAATGACACCAAAATCGTTCTTCTCGTCACAAACAGCACTAAATACAGATGCTCAATCTATCTTCTTTCAGTGCCTGCCGAAACTCAGACCAATGAAAAACGCGAAAATTATATATATATATATATATATATATATATATATTCACCGATAGCACAACTCTGAGTTTCATGCACAACGCAATTTTCAAGTGCTGGCTGAGTTTTAATGAAATTTAGAGTGGTGCTGCCGGTGAGGAAAAATGTACATTTATTATTAATATATATTATTAATAGAAATCTTATAAGTATAAGAAACTATACTCGCTCGGAAAGCCTTCGGTGTCTTGATTTGCAAATAAACAAGCCAATACCAAAGGGAAAAAAGGTATAAAAATAAAGAAAGAACCAAGAACAGGTACGTTAGCCGAAAATAATAGCCCAGCATGCAAGTCCAAGGCCCAAAGAAAAAAAAACCGATGCGAGTACCCAAAACAACTAAATAAAGTGCTCAATACAATGAATAGAGCAGACCTAGTTTAACCTCGAGAGTCAGACAAACCTAGCAAGGTTTCACCTAAGCGGATCGTCAGGGAAGGCTGGCCAGCGATCCGCTTAGGTAAAAACCTTGGTAGGTTTGTCTGGCTCTGTAGGTTTAATTATTATTATTAATATATATATATATATATATATATATATATATATATATATATATATATATATATATTGTCGGATTCCGTAGAATTTGTAAATGATTTTAAACAGACAAGCCCGCGTATTTTTTTTCCCTTAGGGGTAAACTTTTTCGGCAAACACCTTATGAGAAGAAACGTTGGCGACTAGTAAAATGTTAACGGGAATCGCTGAGTGATATACAAAATGGAAGGAAACAAGGAACCACGATCAAAATACAATTAAATATTAAAAAGAGGGGGAATATAAAAGGAGGGGGAATGGGAAAAAACAGATTAAATAGTTCCAGTGACTCACAAGCCTCCCAGTAAAGAAAGAGAACGGATAAATTTTTCTTTCTCTCGGCACAAAGATGGTCGATGTTATATATATATATATATATATATATATATATAGTTGTATATTAAGGCAGCAATCATTCATTTATGCATGTTTCATTAAAAACGACAGACAAGGTACTACGGTTCCGCTTTTTATTCAATTTTTCTTGTGTACGAACAAGAGCTTTTTTTTTCCTGAATGCAGTGGTGTTATTTTCCTTGTTGGCTGCCAGGTCGTGTAATTTGATAGTTGTATATTTAGGCAGCAATTTTATTATCATATTATATAATAGCAATTAAAAATACCTATTTTGTTTTAATTATTAAACGCAGCAATTTCATGTTGAACAATCCCATATAAAGAGGAATCAGTGAATCCCGGAAGACGGGATTCACTAATTCTTCTTTTTGGTCAATCTGTTTTAACCAAATTCAGACATTGATGTTTCAGCTATTCATCCGTATCCAGTCTTCGCGCAGTTCAGTGGTTATTATAGAAAGTCTATGGTTTCCTCCGGGCTGAATGATACAAGGGAAAACTTCTTTTGCTTTATTACTGTATCTTGTAATTTCCCGGGAACTTACCGCGCGATGATATTTAACCAGTTCTTCTTCCGCATCAACGCTCATGTCATGATTTTAGTCCTTATTACTGCGGCATTTTGACAGACCAAACCCAATCTCAGTGAATATATATCTATTTTTATTTCTCTACACATTAACAATGATAATTTCACTTGCAAAGGAGTAACGTAAACAATCCACCGTTGGTGGTTCATAGAAACAGTGTTTTGTTTTTTCTATGATTTATATAACAACACGTAGATTACCGATGTCTTTCGGGACGGTTGCGTCGCGGGGACAGATATGAGCGATGGTTGCATAAGTGTTGCTGTCATTTAATCTTCGTGAGTTCAATCCCTGAATTAGTTAGTGTAACAATATATTATTTTGTAGCAGGAAAAAGAGTCACGGTCATAAAAAATAACACATTTGTTAACATGAGAGTTATTCTAGAAGTGTTTTCCTAGCCATTTTTTAAGCATTCAACCACAAGCAAGACTAGCATGCAAGGAGTTACAGAGGGTTGGAGCGAGATCAAAGAGGAGTGATAGAGGAAAGGATGAAGAGAAGTTTAGGGGATAGATCAGGGCATCTGGAGGCGTCGATTGACTTTACATTTGAATAGTTGGAGATTATAGCTATCAGGAAAACAAGAAATGGGGAGGGAGTTCCACAGGCGAGAAGTGCGAGACATGGAGCTATTGGAGTAGAAGAGACGGCTACATTTAACAGTTTCGACAGTGAAAGGGTGAGAGCGAGATGCAAGCCTAGTTGAGCGCTTAAATTCATGAAGTCTGGGCATTGTAAGCCAACTTTCCTAGCGATGGACGAAGCTAGTGACTTAACGTATTCGTTCCATCTCAGACCAGTGGACAATGTGAGACCGAGCAGTCGCAAAGAGGTGCTCTCGTGGAGTTGAGCGTCAGCCATTCTAATGGGAGGCAGGCATGGTTCTCTCTGGTGAGTAATGGAGAACAGTTTTCTTTTAAGGCATTAAAGTTAACCAGCCATTTTCTGCCCCAGTCCATAACCGATTGGACGTCCTTTTCAAGACAAACGGCCACGTTAGTTTTGTCGGCGACACTAGATTTGTTTTTGAGACAGTAATAAACAGCATTCGTTGGATAGGAGCTGGAGGAGAATCCGTTGAGAACGATCTTCAAGGTACAGTTCGACAAACGCTTTACAGATATCAAGAGCTACGGCACGAGCTTCTCCATTATTATGAAGTGCTTGGTAAACAATTTCAGTTATGGCCGTATGCACATCATCTGTAGAACGGGCAAAGCGGAAACCATATTGTTTGTCGGGGAGCAGATTATAACCACTTCAGCGTTGATTAAAGCTTCAAAGACTTTACTGAAGAGTGGTAGGGGACTGATAGGACGGTAATTAGAAGGGTCAGAAGGGTCTCCAGAGTTCTTAAAGACAGGAACAATGGATGAGGACTTCCAACAGGATGGAAAACAAGATTCATTGAGGCAGTAATTATATAATTTGGAGAGAGCAGGGGCCAGTTCAGGCGCACATTTCTTCAGGACAATGGCTGGTATCCCATTTCCACCATTAGCCTTGTGGGGGTCTAATTTAGAGAGGATGCGTAGAACCGATGACGAGGTTATGTGTTATGTGATTCTCAGTTCGAAGGGGGAAATCAGGTGTGGGTACACCGAAAGAGTCGAGCGTTGAATCGAATGAGAATTTCCGAGCAAAGCATTCAGCCTTGTCGACAGAAGAGCTCAGAAACTCAAACTGGTTGAACAAAGGAGGTATAGAGGGTTTGCTGTTGTTAAGTACACTCTTGCAGAGATTCCAATAATATTTGAAGCCGAATTTGCGAGATGCAATATGTTCTTTCATTCGAGCAGCAAATAGTGACTTTGCTTCATTGAGGACATGCTTACACTCGTTACGGGCAGAGATAAAGAGATATCTCTTGCAATCAGACACGTCACGACGATAAAGGTGGAAAAGGTGTTTCCTATGGGCAATGGCAGCTGAGCAAGCAGCGGAGAACCAAGGGTGGGGAGCTCGATTTGACCTTACATTTCCTTGAGAGGATGAAAGCCTCGATCCCAGCTTTAACCCAGGAGGAGACCTCGGAAGCACATTCTTGAACAGGGAGCGTGAGACAACGTTCCATATCATATCAACGTCGCGAATGAAATCCCGTAACGAGTCTGATAGCTCGTTGATAGCAGAACGATGTTCTAGTGGTAGGATGTTCTTTGCATGGGGATGGAGTTGAAGGAGATATTGACAGACACGACAGCGTGATCGGAGTTGCCAAGAGGGCAGAGCTGCATGGCGCTACAGGACTCGGGGATGGAGGTAAAACATAGATCAAGAAGAGAAGCCTTACCATCCAGATTGTAGGGAAAACGTGTGGGGAAGTCAACTATTTGCGTGAGGGATTGAGAAATTGAAAAATTAAGGGTTTGTATGCTTGGAAGGTCAGTAGTAGCCTTATTAAGTCACTTGGTATGATGGGCGTAAAATCGCCAAACACGAATATGCGAGCAAACGGATGGAGAAAGAGAGCCTTGTCAATGCTGTCAGAAATGCATTCGAATACACCACAGTCATGGGTGGATGGAGAGCGATAAAGGAAGAAGAGGTAGCTTAAAACATTGAGAAGGGATAGCCGCAGACACATATACGAATGGTTTGGAGATTCAAGAGACAGCTCTCTTGCCAGCTGGAGATGGTCACTGACGTAAATACCAAAGCCATTCATATTGGTTTGAGAGTCTTTTCTAAGGAGTGTAAGGTATACGGGGATCGAGATTTCAGGGGAGGGGATAGACGAGTCAAGGTTGGCCTCACATGAGCCAGTATATCTGGGTAGTTCGAATCAAGGAAAGATTCAACACTGCAGTAGTTGTTTCTAATGCCACGGGTGTTTGAAAATGAAATGTTAAATTTGATAATGGAATACGCTGATATCAAATGGAAAGACTATATTGAATCAATTGATAGGTCAGCTGCTGAAAACGTC